TCAGCCCTCAAGAGGCACCAAAACAGCCACTTCGGAGAGAAGACGCATAAATGCCCCGAGTGTGGAAAGTGCTTCCATCAAAGAGGAGACCTCAGTCGGCACCAAAAGATCCACACCAAAGAGAAGCCACATAAATGCCTGGAGTGTGGGAAAGGCTTCCATCAAAAAGGAGAGCTCTGCAGGCACCAAAAAAACCACATGGGAGAGAAGCCACTCAAATGCCTGGAGTGTGGGAAAGGCTTTCATTACAATGCAGACCTCAGCAGGCACCTCACCACACACATGAAAGAGAAGCCATATAAATGCCTGGAGTGCGGGAAAGGCTTCACCCAAAAGAGAAGTCTCCTTGGGCACGAAATGAATCACAGAGGCCAGAAACCCTATAAGTGCCTAGACTGTGGGAAGAGCTTTAGCTTGAAATCGGTCCTCAAAAATCACCAAACTAGTCACATCGAAGAGAAACCGTATGCATGCCTGGAGTGTGAGAAGAGTTTCCGTTGGAGCGCAAGCCTCAAGATGCACCAGAAATCCCACAGAGGAGAGAAGCCACATAAATGCCTGGAGTGTGGGAGAGGCTTTACTCATAAGAGAAATCTCATTGGGCATGAAATGTATCACAGAGGAGAGAAACCTTATAAATGCCTGGAGTGTGGAAAGAGTTATATTTCGATCACAGGCTTCAAAACTCACCAGGAGAAAAATCATCCAGTGCCAAGAGTGTGGGAAGAGACCCAATCACATCAGCCCTCGGTAGACACCGAAATATGCCCACAATGAAGGAAATACACATGGACAGAAATATGTTACAGCTTTTGTATAGCCTTACATTTGTTTCAAGACATCTTATGTCTTCTTTTGACACCCTTTTGGCAGGTTCGTCAGCTGATATGATGTGGTATCCACACTGGACTTTTTTTCCTTTTTCAGCTGCAAGTTCTTACGTTTTGTGCTTGTTTTAGAACAGGTATCCTCAAACTTTTTAAGCCAAGGGGCCGAATCAAAGTCTCTCAGACTATTGGGGGGCTGGACTATAGTTTGAAAAAAAAATCAACAAATTCCTATGCACACTCCACATCTCTTATTTGTAGTGCAAAAACATTGAAAGAACAATACAATATTTAAAATTAAGAACAATAGTAACCAACCGAAATGTACCAGTATTTCAATGGGGAGTGTGGGCCTACTTTCAGCTGATGATAATAATAATAATCTATATAAATAAAATTGTAATGTTCATTTGTGGGATTAACATAACTCAAAAACCACTGGGCGAATTGACACCAAATTTGGACACAACACCCCTATCAGGCCAATAATTGACCATCACTCATAAAACACTGGAAAATATAATAGGGCAAAAGTATGATAGCTGGGACCCTACACTATGTCAGAGCGAGACCCCTGGGGTCTATGCACAGCGGAATTGAGGTTACCAGATCACACAGATGCAAATCAGGACTCACTGCAGTTTTTCAGGTTCAAAAATAACAAAGTTTACTGAGCACATTTAAGACAGGTCTACTTCCAAGCGGGCTACATCGTGAAGACTACAAATCACAGCACACAACTACAGTTTTTTTAGACCATCTGCTTATCTCATTTCTATGGCTGGCTGAATCCTCCCTTTTTCTTCTCAGGCAGGAAAATTTCTTATCTAACTTCTGTCAAGGTCTTCTCTCTCTCTGCCTCTAGCAACAACAAATTCTAGTATACAATTGAACATAACTGAATCCATTTTGAATACATATGAACAGAATTGTTAAACATATTGAAACACATTGAAAAAAAACATACATGCATACTTTCAATTATCCTGACACACTACGCTACTTGCACAACACGAGTCAGAATTAATGAAGGGAAGACATGCACAACGCAGGTCAGAAAGGGGAGGACAGAAATGGGGTGGGGGACAACAAACAGCCAAGCATTATGCTGAAGGCAAGTGAAGTGATGTTTGAGTTATTTACTGTTAAATGATAAACAATGGCTTACCAAGACGATAAACGGGATAGAAATGTTTCATCTCCCCCTTTATGGCGAACAATGTTCCCAGGACTCTGATGCAGCTGCATCTCTCACTCGCTGTGCTGTCTCACACACATGTTCCCCTCATTAATGCAGACCCACGTTGCGCAACCAGTGTAGGGTCCCAGCTATCATACTTTTACCCACAGCAGAAGAGACTTAAAAAGCCATAAAATAAAAACTACATTACAACGCATGTGCAAAACCACATATATACACAAATATATACACATACAAAGCACATTTATACAGACTGGGCCACAGCAATGCGTGGCAGGGGATGGCTAGTCTATATAAAAACACGTAATGTTCGTTTGTGGGACGCACATAACTCAAAAGCCACTGGACAAAATGACACCAAATTTGGCCACAAGACACTTACTAACCCAAGGAGTGACCTTCACCTAAAAAAATCAGCCCAAAACAGCGAAAGGAATATTAAAATCCAAAAAAGGTAGAGTACAACACAACACATGCACACAAATGAATTCCATGGCCCCGGCCCCTCCTGCACAAGGACACAGCATGTACGAGAGGCACCGCTGACCATCCTCCCTCTTCCGGTCAGAGCAGGAGCTAGAAACAGGGCAAAATGGTGGGTCTGGTGAAGGAGGGAGCTTCATCTGCTACCAGGGAAGAAAGAAGAGAAGGAAAGAAGGAGAGAGAGAAGGAAGAAAGGAGAGAAAGAAAAGTGGAAGGAAAGGAAGGAAAGAGGTAGAAAAGGAAGGAAGGAGAGAAAGAGTACCCGCCACAGCAATGCGTGGCGGGTACAGCTTTTTTTTTTTTTTTAGTCGTGTCAGGAGCGACCTGCAGGAGAAACTGCAAGTCGCTTCTGGTGTGAGAGAATTGGCCGTCTGCAAGAACGTTGCCCAGGGGACGCCTGGATGATTTTTTGATGTTTTATCCTTGTGGGAGGCTTCTCTCATGTCCCCGCATGAGGAGCTGGAGCTGATAGAGGGAGCTCATCCGCCTCTTCCCCATTCGAACCTGCGACCTGTTGGTCTTCAGTCCTACCGGCACAGGGGTTTAACCCACTGCGCCACCGGGGGCTCCTTACAGCTAATAATAATAATAATAATAATAATAATAATAATAATAATAATAATAATAATGTTATTTCTTTCCTGTCTCTCCTTGTAGCTTGAAGTAGGTTACAGAATAATTAAAGGACATAAACTTTGAAAAAATACTACCAATACACATATTAAAATGTTTTTCTATAAAAGCCTGCAAGTCCTTTCAGACTTACGGCAATCCTAAATCTAAAGTTTTGGGTAAATAACCTTGGAGGGCCACATCCGGCCCATCGGCCTTAGTTTGGGGACCCCTGTTTTAGAAAGCACACTGAAACTTCTGCAGCTTCTTCTACTTCAGTTTTGTAGATTTTGAGAAACAAATAAAGTTTTCACGTGGCTAAATGGTGTAATGGTTTGAGCATTGGACAACCTCTTTGGAGAACAGAGCTCAAAGCCTGACTTGGCACTAGAAACACACTGGACGACCTTGAGCAAATCACATTCTCTTAGAGCAGTGGTTCTCAACCTGTCTTAATACTATTATTTATTATTTATTTACTTTACTTATATACCGCTGTTCTCAGCCCGAAGGCGACTCACAGCGGTGTACAACAACCAAAACAGCAAAAATTCAATAGTACAATATAAAAACAGGTAATAACTTAACACTATGCACAATTAATAAACAATCACTACAATAACAATTCACTATCATCTCATCAACAAAAACATAGTCCAGAATCGTCGTCCATTGTCACATTCCTATGTTCATTACCAATCATTGCACTAATTATTCAAACGCCTGCTCAAATAGCCAGGTCTTCACTTTTTTGCGGAATACCATTAGAGATGGTGCCGATCTAATATCCGTGGGAAGGGCGTTCCACAGCCAAGGGAGCCACCACCGAGAAGGCCCTATCTCTCGTCCCCGCCAGCCGTGCCTGTGATGCAGGCGGGATCGAGAGCAGGGCCTCCCCGGAAGATCTCAAAGTCCTGGTGGGTTCATAGGCAGAGATGCGGTCAGATAGGTAGCTTGGGCCGGAACCATTTAGGGCTTTAAAGGCCAACGCCAGCACTTTGAATTCAGCCCGGTAGCAGATCGGTAGCCAGTGGAGTTGGCGCAACAGGGGGGTTGTATGCTCCCTGCGCCCGCTCCTGTTAGAATCATGGCTGCCGAGCGTTGGACTAGTTGGAGCTTCCGGGCCGTCTTCAAAGGCAACCCCACGTAGAGAGCGTTGCAGTAGTCAAGGCGGGATGTAACCAGAGCGTGGACTACCGTGGCCAAGTCAGACTTCCCAAGGTCCGGGCGCAGCTGGCGCACAAGTTTTAATGTTGGGGCATACTACTACTACTACTAATAATAATAATAATAACAATAATATTAATAAAACTTTATTTGTACCCCGCTACCATCTCCCCAAGGGACTCAGTGCAGCTTACATGAGGTCAAGCCCAAAGTACATCAAACAAAACATCAATAAACACAACATCAATAAACAATCAATAAAATACAAATCATATAAATCACATAAACAAAAAACAATCAATAGTGACATAAACAATTTTAAAAATGGTCGGGCCAAATGTAATAGATTAAAATTGAAAATAGGATAGGATTTTTTGGAGAGAAATGAGGGAGCACAGTCCATCCTAAGTCAGTATTAAAGTGCATTGTGAGGAGGACATATTGCTGAGAGTTCTCCTTATTCTGGGAAGGCACACTGGAACAACCACGTTTTCAGGCTCCTCCTAAAGACATCCTCTTCCAAGATTTTAAACAGTTCAGCTGGGATCCCGTCGTCTCCTGCTGCCTTGTTATTAGCAATGCTTCTTAAGGTGGAGTTTCCCTAAAAGAGCAGGGGGCTGGACTAGATGGCCCTGATGGCCCCTTCCAAGCTATGAGTCAATGCACCAATAAGAGGAAGGGGCGTGGAAGGGGGCGTGCCTTGCGGGAGGGAGGCCCCACCCACCTCCGCGAGAGAGCAGCCTGGACCCAGGAAAGGGGCGCCTGGCCTGGAAAGAGGAGGGGCCTGCCCTGTTCCCCCCTCCCAGGACAATGGGTGAGCCCTCTTTCCCTGTCTTTGGGCTTTTGGGGAGCCCGGATCTGCAAGGAAAAAGGGGAGGMGAGGCATAGCAGAAGGGAGAGGGGAGGGAAGATGGGGAGGCTCCCCCCCCCCTCCTTTGATCACTCATCTAGGAGGCTCTGGGGAGGAAGGAGGAGGGAGGGAAAGGGAGGCCCACCGACTGGGCTTTGGACTACACCTCCCAGTATCCCTGGCCAGGAAGGGAGGAGGGCTCAGGACACATGAAAGGCCTGGGGGGGGGGAGATGGCCCTCTTCCCCCAAACCTGGCCAAGAGGGAGGGGGCTCTGCAGTTCCTCCTTCCTTCCTTCCTTCCTATCTCCCTCCCTTCCTGCCTGTTTTGCCTTGAACCTTGACTTGGAGGTCCAGCCTTGGGCTTTTCAGGGTCAGATTGGTTAAAAGGAGGTCTCTCCATGCCTTCCTCTGAGGCTGAGAAAGTGTGACTTGTCCAGTGTTATGCCATGAACGAGCAGGGTTTTCAACCCCAGGTCCCAAATTCGCACAACAGTGTCGCAGCTGGGAATCAAGTCACTTTGTATCCCCACAGTTTCCTTTTTTAAACCAGTACTCCAAATTGGAAACAGTGTGGCTTACTGGAATATGCTGGGGATCAAGACACGTCTCTCTCCCCACAGATGACCATTCAGTCTCTGTTTAAAAGCCTCCAAAGAAGGGGTCTTCACCACACTCCGGGCCAGAGAGTTCCACTGCTAAACAGCTCTCACAGTTAGGAAGAGCATAGAATCGTAGAGTTGGAAGAGACCTCGTGTGCCATCCAGTCAAACCCCATTCTGCCAAGAAGCAGGACAATCGCATTCGAAGCACTCCTGACAGATGGCCATCCAGCCTCTGTTTAAAAGCCTCCAAAGAAGGGGTCTTCACCACACTCTGGGGCAGAGAGTTCCACTGCTGAACAGCTCTCACAGTCAGGAAGTTCTACCTAATGTTCAGGTGGAATCTCCTTTCTTGTAGGTTCTCCCAGTTTTCAACTGGGAGAACCTAGAATCATAGAATAAGACTTGGGAGAGACAACAGGAGCCAACTCTCTGTCACGCAGGAAATATAATATAATGTATATCACATAGTTGGCATCTACTTCTGCTTCATTGACTCTTCTAAAGCCTTTGACTGTGTGGATCATAATAAATGGTGGCAAGTTCTTAGTGGGATGGGCATCCCAAGCCACCTTGTCTCTCTCCTGAGGAATCTGTACAAGGACCAAGTAGCAACAGTCAGAACTGACCACGGAACAACAGACTGGTTCAAGATAGGGAAAGGCGTACGGCAAGGCTGCATACTCTCACCCAACCTTTTTAACTTGTATGCAGAACACATCATGCGATGTGCGGGGCTTGATGAATGCAAAGCTGGGGTGAAAATTGCTGGAAGAAACATTAACAACCTCAGATATGCAGATGACACCACTCTGATGGCCGAAAGCGAGGAGGAGCTGAGGAGCCTTCTAATCAAGGTGAAAGAAGAAAGTGCAAAAGCTGGGTTGCAGCTAAACATAAAAAAACCAAGATTATGGCAACAAGAATGATTGACAACTGGGAAATAGAGGGAGAAAATGTGGAGGCCGTGACAGACTTTGTATTTCTAGGTGCAAAGATTACTGCAGATGCAGACTGTGGCCAGGAAATCAGAAGACGCTTCCTTCTTGGGAGGAGAGCAATGCCCAGTCTCGATAAAATAGTGAAGAGTAGAGACATCAGACTGGCAACAAAGATCCGCCTAGTCAAAGCCATGGTATTCTCTGTAGTAACCTACGGATGTGAGAGCTGGACCTTAGGGAAGGCTGAGCGAAGGAAGATCGATGCTTTTGAGCTGTGGTGTTGGAGGAAAGTTCTGAGAGTGCCTTGGACTGCGAGAAGATCCAACCAGTCCAACCTCCAGGAAATAAAGCCCGACTGCTCACTGGAGGGAAAGATACTAGAGACAAAGTTGAAGTACTTTGGCCACATCATGAGGAGACAGGAAAGCCTAGAGAAGACAATTATGCTGGGGAAAGTGGAAGGCAAAAGGAAGAGGGGCCGACCAAGGGCAAGATGGATGGATGGCATCCTTGAAGTGACTGGACTGACCTTGAAGGAGCTGGGGTGGTGACGGCCGACAGGGAGCTCTGGCGTGGGCTGGTCCATGAGGTCACGAAAAGTCGGAGACGACTGAACGAATGAACAACAATAGTTGGCTCATGTTTAACTTGCTGCCATGAGGACTCCAAGATCATTTTAACACGTACTGCTCTCGAGCCAGGCATCCCCCATTCTGTCTCTTTGCATTTCCTTTTTTCTGCCTCAGTGGAGTATCTTGCGTTTGTCCTCATTGAACTTCATTGTGTTAATTCTGGCTCATCATCTCTCTAATCTGTTCAGATCGTTTTGAATTCTGTTCCTGTCTTCTCAAGCATTGGCTCTCTCTCCCAATTTGGTCCTGTCTGCAAATGTGATGATTATGCCTTCTAACCCTTCCTCTAAGTCATTAATAAAGACGTTTGAACAGAACCGGGCCCAGGTGCCCCATCATGACTCCAGGCTGATCATGCAAACCACCGTGGCTTACTAGTTTGAGCGCCCAGATATGGATGAGCAGGTAAGTGTCCAGAGAAGGGCAACCAAAACGATCTTAACATATTAGAGAGATGGGCCAAAACTAACAAAATGAAGTTCAATGGTGACAAATGCAAGATACTCCACTTAGGCAGAAAAAAACGTAATGCAAAGAGACAGAATGGGGGACAATGCCTGGCTAGACAGCAGTACATGTGAAAAAGATCTTGGAGTCCTCGTGGACAACAAGTTAAACATGAGCCAGGAATGTGATGCAGCAGCAAAAAAGCCAATGGGATTTTGGCCTGCATCAAGAGGAGTCTAGTGTCTAGATCCAGGGAAGTCATGCTCCCCCTCTATTCTGCCTTGGTTAGACCACTTTACCTGGAATCGCACTGTGTCCAATTCTGGGCACCACAATTGGAGAGAGATATTGACAAGCTGGAATGTGTCCAGAGGAGGGCAACTAAAATGACCAAGGGTCTGAAGGACAAGCCCTATGAGGAGTGGTTTAAGGTGCTGGGCATGTTTAGCCTGAAGAAGAGAAGACTGAGAGGAGACATAGAATCAAATCAAAGAGTTGGAAGAGACCTCATGGGCCATCTAGTCCAACCCCCTGCCAAGAAGCAGGAATATTGCATTCAAATCACCCCTGACAGATGGCCATCCAGCCTATGTTTAAAAACATGATAGCCATGTATAAATACATGAGAGGAAGTCATGGGGAGGAGGGAGCAAGCTTCTTTTCTGCTGCCCTGGAGACTAGGACGTGCAAGAATGGCTTCAAACTACAAGAAAGGAGATTCAATCTGAACATGAAGAAGAACTTCTTGACTGTGAGAGCTGTTCAGCAGTGGAACTCTCTGCCCCGGAGTGTGATGGAGGCTTCTTCTTTGGAGGCATTTAAACAAAGGCTGGATGGCCATCTGTTGGGGGTGCTTTGAATGTTGTTTTCCTTCTTCTTGGAAGGGGGTTGGACTGGATGGCCCTTGAGGTCTCTTCCAACTCTATTATTCTATTTGAAAGGATGTCACCTTTCAAATATTTGGACATTGAGCAATGGGTTTAAACCACAGGAGAAGAGACTCCACCTAAACATTGGGAAGATATCTCTGGAGTTGGAACATTTCCGCATGGGATTTGATGCCACTTGGGAGTGTGGTGGAGTGTCCTTCTCTGGAGGGCTTAAGCAGGATGGCCATTTATTGGGAGTGCTTGGATTATGTGTTTCTGCCGCAGAAGGGGGTTGGACTGGATGGCCCTTGGGGTCTCTTCCAACACTATAATTCTGATTCCTTCTCTGCCCTATTGTTCAGACACACCTGTATTGTGGGAATGATCTTCTTCTCTCTGACTGGGCATGTTTGGGGAAGAGTAATCTCTCCAATGGGCACCTCTGTCACTTTGCATGGAGGGAACCTGCAAAGTTGGAAGGAAATGTTGGGTAAGATATCATTTAGGGAGCTAGGTGAGGGATTGGTGGGAATCAGGTTGTAACCCACCCTGATGGGCTAGGAATCTTTTCAGGTTGTCTTAGGATCGCTGCTCTTCTCTTTCAGCCTAACTTGCCTCACAGGGAGGTTGTAATGTTATTTGAATATATTGGAGGCAAGATGGGATACAGATCAAACTCATAAATACATAACGAATAGATCTCCTAGATGGAACAAAAGCTAGGATTGGAGTCTGGCCAAGGCCTAGAGCAGAGCTTTCCAAACTGCATGTTGCGACATGTTAGTGTGTCACTTGCAGTGTGTAGGTGTGGTGCCGTAATGAGAAACCTCTGAGTCGAAGCAATAAATCATATATTCTTTTAAAAATGAATGAATGGTTTTCATGAGGTATGTTGTGTCCCCATACATTTCATTATTGAAGTTTATGTATGCGTCTGGGTCTCTTGTAAAGGGTTGGTTTACTAGTAAAACGGAATTACTGTATTGCAAAATGATGCAAGTCTAAAGCGTGTGTCGACAACAGGAAATGTTTGGAAAGCACTGGCCTAGAGAGAAGGCAAGGCTGTGGTGCCAGAGTTGGACTGGGAGAGCTGCAGATTTAGGTGGAGCTACAGTTGGTGGAAATGTACCCACTATGGCTTCAAAATAAAAAATCATACTATTATACGCTCCATAGAAAAAGGCTCTGTTGATGGCCACTGCATATCATAGAATCATAGAATCAAAGATTTGGAAGAGACCTCATGGGCCATCCAGTCCAACCCCATTCTGCCAAGAAGCAGGAATATTGCATTCAAATCACCCCTGACAGATGGCCATCCAGCCTCTGTTTAAAAGCTTCCAAAGAAGGAGCCTCCACCACACTCCGGGGCAGAGAGTTCCACTGCTGAACGACTCTCACAGTCAGGAAGTTCTTCCTCATGTTCAGATGGAATCTCCTTTCTTGTAGTTTGAAGCCATTGTTCCTGCGTCCTAGTCTCCAGGGAAGCAGAAAACAAGCTTGCTCCCTCCTCCCTGTGGCTTCCTCTCACATATTTATACATTGGCTATCATATCTCCTCTCAGCCTTCTCTTCTTCAGGCTAAACATGCCAGCTCCTTAAGCCGCTCCTCATAGGGCTTGTTCTCCAGACCCTTGATCATTTTAGTCGCCCTCCTCTGGACACATTCCAGCTTGTCAATATCTCTCTTGAATTGTGGTGCCCAGAATTGGACACAATATTCCAGGTGTGGTCTAACCAAAGCAGAATAGAGGGGTAGCATTACTTCCCTAGATCTAGACACTATGCTCCTATTGATGCAGGCCAAAATCCCATTGGCTTTTTTTGCCGCCACATCACCTTGTTGGCTCATGTTTAACTTGTTGTCCACGTGGACTCCAAGATCTTTTTCACACGCTCAACATAATGCTCAACATAACTCCCAATCTGCAAATATAATAATGCTGTGAGATATATATGGTGGAGGCTTCTTCTGTGTGGTGGAGGCTCCTTCTTTGGACCCTTTTAAACATTAGAACTTCCTGACTGTGAGAGCTGTTCAGCAGTGGAACTCTCTGCACCGGAGAGAAAGAACTTCCTGACTGTGAGAGCTGTTCAGCAGTGGAACTCTCTGCACCGGAGTGTGGTGAGGGCCCCTTCTTTGGAGGCTTTGAAACAGAGGCTGGATGGCCATATGTTGGGGGTGCTTTGAATGCAATTTTCCTACCTCTTGGCAGGGGGTTGAACTGGATGGCTCACGAGGTCTCTTCCAACTCTATGATTCTATATGTATGTAAATACATCCGTTGTATTTACATTGCTCCTGTGGGTCTCCTAGTCTCTATTTTATATCCACAATTTCCCTTGTAGGTAATAATGGGGAAAATGAACAAGCTAAAAGTGACTGGGTTGGAATGGGGGCTCCAAATTGGATTCTGAAACCTCCAGATCTCAGCCTAGCACTCTAAGGACTAAAACACATTGAGTCTCAAAATGCATCCAAACATTATGTTGTTGTTTTTGTTGTTTATGCCCTGCTTTTCTCTCTTGATCAAGACTGGACAGGGGGAGTGTGACCCTGTTAGTTCTCCTGGACATCTCAGTGGCTTTCGATACCATCGATCATGGTATCCTTCTGGGACGACTCTCCGGGATTGGCCTTGGGGGCTCAGTTCTATCATGGTTCCGCTCCTTCATGGAGGGTTGTTCCCAGTTGGTGAAGCTGGGAGACACCTGCTCAGCCCCCTGGCCTTTGACCTGTGGGGTCCCGCAAGGTTCCATTCTGTCTCCCATGCTTTTTAACATCTACATGAAACCACTGGGTGAGGTCATCCGGAGTTTTGGAGTTGGTTTCCATCTCTACGCAGATGACACACACCTCTACTACTCTTTTCCACCTAACTCCAAGGAAGCCCCTTGGGTGCTGGACGAGTGCCTGGCTGCTGTGGGTGTCTGGATGAGGATGAACAAGCTGAAGATCAATCCCGACAAGACAGAGGTCCTCCTGGTCGATCGTAAACCAGATTGGGGTATAGGGTGGCAACCTGTGCTGGACAGGGTTACTTACTTACTTAGGCGATCCCTCGTTGGACGAGTAAGATGGTCTTCCATTATGGATTTCCCTGTGGGTCCGTATGTGGCTGTGGAGCCCTATTCTTGCTCTGCATCTTCTTCCGCAGTGGGGGCATTGGTTTCCAGGTGGAAGGCGGTCCCGGTCGGGGTTGGCTTGACGCGCCTTCCTCCTGGCACGTTTCTCTCTTTCACCCTCCACTCGTGCCTCCTCAAATTCTGCAGCACTGCTGGTCACAGCTGACCTCCAGCTGGAGCGCTCAAGGGCCAGGCCTTCCCAGTTCTCAGTGTCTATGCCAGAGTTTTTAAGGTTGGCTTTGAGCCCATCTTTAAATCTCTTTTCCTGTCCACCAACATTCCGTTTTCCGTTCTTGAGTTCGGAGTAGAGCAACTGCTTTGGGAGACGGTGGGCAGGCATCCGGACAACGTGGCCGGCCCAGAGTTGATGTTGGAGGACCATCGCTTCAATGCTCGTGGTCTTTGCCTCTTCCAGCACGCTGACGTTTGTCCGCTTGTCTTCCCAGGAGATTTGCAGGATTTTCCAGAGGCAGCGCTGATGGAATTGTTCCAGGAGTTGCATGTGACGTCTGTAGACAGTCCACGTCTCACAGGCATAGCAGGGTTGGGAGGACAATAGCTTTATAAACAAGCACCTTGGTATCCCTACGGATGTCCCGGTATTCAAACACTCTCTGCTTCATTCTGGAAAATGCTGCACTTGCAGAGCTCAGGCGGTGTTGTATTTCAGCGTCGATGTTGACTTTGGTGGAGAGGTGGCTGCCAAGATAGCGGAAATGGTCCACATTTTCTAATGTGACACCATTAAGCTGTATTACTGGCATTGGAGAGGGATTGGCTGGTGACTGCTGGAACAGCACCTTGGTTTTCTCAATGTTCAGTGACAGGCCGAGCTTGTATGCTTCTGCGAAGGTGTTTAGAGTGGCTTGTAGCTCTTCTTCTGAATGCGCACAGACGACATTGTCATCAGCATACTGGAGTTCTATAACAGATGTTGTTGTAACCTTGGTTTTGGCTTTCAGTCTGCTGAGGTTGAATAGCTTGCCATCTGTCCGATAGCTTATTTCCACTCCGGTGGGAAGCTTCCCATCAACAAGGTGAAGTATCATAGCGATGAAGATGGAGAATAGAGTTGGGGCAATAACACATCCCTGTTTGACACTGATTCCACCTTAAATGGGTCACTTTGGGAGCCACTGCTGTCCAAGACTGTTGCCATCATGTCATCATGGAGGAGCCGCAGGATGTTCACAAATTTGTTTGGGCACCCGATTTTGTGGAGGATGGTCCAGAGAGCGCTGCGATTCACTGTGTCGAATGCCTTTGCAAGGTCGATGAATGCCATGTACAGAGGTTGATTTTGTTCCCTGCATTTTTCTTGGAGCTGTCTTGCAGTGAAGATCATGTCCACGGTTCCTCTGGAGGGGCGGAAGCCATTCTGGGATTCTGGGAGGGTGTCTTCTGAGAGGGGCAGAAGGCGGTTTGCAAGGATTCTTGCGAGGATTTTCCCAGCGGAGGTTAGAAGGGAGATACCTCGGTAGTTTCCGCAGTCTGTTCTTTCCCCTTTTTTGAAGAGGGTGATGATGGTGGCGTCCTTGAAATCTGCTGGGATTTTCTCGGTCACCCACACTTTTTCTATGAGCTGGTGGAGTTGGTGTGTCAGCTCAGGTCCTCCCTCTTTAAAGATTTCAGCAGGGATCCCATCTGGTCCACTGGCTTTGTTATTCTTCTGTTGGCTGATGGCATTGCTGACTTCTTCCAAACTAGGCAGTGCTGCAAGCTCGTCCCTGGTTTGTTGCTGCGGGATTTGTGAGAGGACCTCTTCGGCCACATTGGAGCTGCGGTTCAGGAGGCTTTGGTAGTGTTCTTTCCAACGTAGTGCAATTGAGTTTTGGTCCTTCAGGAGTTTGGTTCCATCTGATGAGCGTAGAGGCTGTATCCCATGGTTTCTTGGTCCATAGATGACCTTTGTGGCTTTGAAGAATCCCTGAGCATCATGGGTATCTGCCAGGTGTTGGATTTCTTCAGCCTTCTTTGTCCACCAGATGTTCTTGAGTTCTCTTGTCCTTCTTTGGACCTCAGCTTTTGCACTGGCGTAGATCTTTTTCTTAGCAGCACAGTTGATGTCTCTCTGCCATGCTTGGAAGGCTTTCCTTTTCTTGTCAATTAGCTGTTGGATCTCGATGTCATTTTCATCAAACCAGTCTTGATGTTTCTTGGCTTGGTATCCAATAGTTTCTTCGCAGGCTTGGATGATGGAGGTCTTCAGTTTGTTCCAATGTTCCTCGACATTTTCGGGGTGTACTGTGGGTAGATGGTCCTTGAGTGCTGTTTGGAGATGGGCTCGTCTGGAGGGCTCCTGAAGGGCTTGGGTGTTCATTTTGCGCCTTGTCTTCCTTCCTTGGAGTCTGCGCTTGGGGGCAATCTTGAGAGCCATCGAGGATCGGATTAGCCTGTGGTCAGTCCAGCAGTCGTCAGCACCTGTCATGGCTCTTGTGAGGAGCACATCACAGCGGTCTCTGGCGCGTGTGATTACATAGTCTAAGAGGTGCCAATGCTTTGACCGGGGGTGCTTCCATGATGTCTTGAACTTGTTTTTCTGGCGGAAGAGCGTGTTGGTGATGACAAGGTTGTGCTCCGCACATTTGGTGAGAAGCAGGATGCCATTTGAGTTGCTGTTTCCAACCCCGTCTTTTCCGATGGTCCCTGGCCACAGGTCGAAGTCTCGCCCGACTCTTGCATTGAAGTCCCCCAGGAGGATGATTTTGTCCTCCTTAGGTATCCCCGATAGGACGGTGTCCAGCTGACAGTAGAATTTCTCCTTGATGTCTTCATCAGCATCTAGTGTTGGTGCATAGGCACTTATGATGGTTGCCCGTTGGTTTTTGGCAAGATCGATTCGGAGGGTTGAGAGTCGTTCGTTGATGCCAGTGGGTGCTTCGGACAGATGTTTCACCAGATCATTCCTGATGGCAAAGCCAACTCCGTGCATTCTTTGGTCTTTTTCGGGCAGTCCCTTCCAGAAGAAGGTGTAGCCTCCTTTTTCTTCCTTCAGCTGTCCCTCTCCTGCTCTCCGGGTCTTCCTGAAGGGCTGCTATGTCGATGTTGAAGCGTCCCAGCTCCCTTGCAATGATGGCAGTTCTGCGTTCGGGGCGTTCACTGCCGCTGTTGTCCATCAGAGTCCGTACGTTCCACGTACCGAAGTTCATTTTTCTTTTTTGGCCGCAGGGTGGTGACCCCACTGGACACGGCAGTCCAGTCAGGGATAAGTGAGGCAGACTATGTTTAGGGCACCTTTTCTAGCCCCCTCTCCATGTGGGGTGAGCAGAGTGGATCCTCAAAAGGGAAAAGAGAGGCAGACTATGTTTAGGGCACCTTTTCTAGCCCCCTCCCCGTGTGGGGTGAGCAGAGTGGGTCCTAAAAAGGGCTGCTCAGTCGCGGATACAGCTGCCGAACTACTCAACTGCCTCGGACCTTGAGGTAGAACGACTGAGTCCGTACCCACCGCCCATGTGCCAGTCTGTGACTAGGGGCTTCCAGATTTCACAGTCCTGCCCCCGTCACCACTCGCTGATCGCCATGGGGCTTTGGTTGGTTTGTTTTTATTTTCTTTGGAAGACGCCTGTGCGTGGGTTTTTTTAATGTGTGGAGGTCAGTGCACAACTGATCGACACACAGACTTCACAGAGTGAGGTTCCACTGGTGATGTAGTTTAACACAATGACCGTGGCTTCTCAGTCTGTTGCAGCCTTCTTCCGCCTTCGCAGCCGTTGTAACATGTGCCATGTTATCCTCCGCCTGCTCCGCCGTTGAGGTCTTTGGGTCTTCGGACTGTGCTTGGTCTGGAACCTCCCCCGCGGCCACTCCTGGGAGTGCACGACTCCAGTTGTTGTGCCTACAGGTTCATCGGAACACGCAAGCCCCCTCACCACGACAAGGTGACAGTCCATCGAGGGGGTTACAGGGTTACACTCCCCCTGAAGTCACAGGTCCGCAGTCTGGGTGTCCTCCTGGACTCATCACTGTCGCTTGAAGTTCAGGCGTCGGCGGTGGCCGGGAGGGCCTTTGCACAATTAATACTCGTGCGCCAACTGCAACCGTACCTCGTGAAGGCGGATCTGGCCAGGGTGGTCCACTCCTTAGTCACTTCCAGATTGAACTACTGTAATGCACTCTATGTGGGGCTGCCCTTGAAATCAGCTTGGAAATTTCAATTGGTCCAACGGGCGGTGGCCAGGTTGTTAACTGGTGCTCCTTATAGGGAGAGGTCAACCCTCCTGTTTAAGGAGCTCCATTGGCTGTCATTCATTTTCCGGTCCCAATTCAAGGTGCAGGTGCTTACTGTGAACAAGGAAGAACTTCCTGACTGTGAGAGCCGTTCAGCAGTGGAACTCTCTGCCCCGGAGTGTGGTGGAGGCTCCTTCTTTGGAAGCTTTTAAGCAGAGGCTGGATGGCCATTTGTCAGGGGTGATTTGAATGCAATATTCCTGCTTCTTGGCAGGGGGTTGGACTGGATGGCCTCTTCCAACTCTTTGATTCTATGATTCTAGGTGCTTACCTACAAAGCCCTAAATGGTTTGGGACCCGCCTACCTGCGTGACCGCATCTCTGTGTGCGAACCCACACGATCTCTTCGTTTTCTGGAGAGGCCCTGCTCACGATCCCACCTTCATCGCAAGTGCGATTGGTGGGGATGAGGGATAGGGCTTTCTCCGTGGTGGCCCCTCGACTCTGGAACTCTCTGCCCAAGGACATCAGGCAGGCCCCGTCGCTAGCAATCTTTAGGAGGAGCTTGAAAACGTGGTTGTTCCAGTGTGCCTTCCCAGAATAAGGAAACTCCTAGCATTATGTCCCAACGCACTTTATCAGAGATCTAGGATATCTGCATGCCCATCCCCCTCCAAACACTCCACCTGGTCATGCCCAGCACTTTTAATTTTAATTATTACATTTGGCCCTGCCATTGTTTTTAATTGTGTTATTGTGTGTTGTCAATGTTATTGCTTTGTTTTTTGAGTTATTTTGCTGTTTGTTGTTGCTGTTGTTCTTACTATTGTATTTGGGCTCGACCTCTTGTAAGCCGCACCAAGTCCTTCGGGAGATGGTAGTGGGGTACAAATAAAGGTTTATTATTATTATTATTTAAGACCCAAAGTGGCTCATAATGATTTAAAAATGCAATTTAAAATCCACCAAGGCGACTACAACGGTCTCAACTCCATATCCTGCTCTGAAATGGCTCAAGAAAGCGTTTGTCATCCAAAAATGCTTGGAGTTGGAGTGTAACTGCCTTCTCAATTACTCTGCCCAAAAAAGGGAAGCTGAAACTTGTCTGTTATTATTAAGGTTCAACGAACCAAGGAAAGTGGGTTGCTGTGAGTTTTCTGGGCTCTATGTCCACCTTCCAGAAGCATTCTCTCTTGATGTTTTGCCCACGTCTATAGCAGACAACCTCAGAGGTTGAGAGCTCTCAACCTCTAAGGATGGCTGCCATAGCCATCCGCAGAGGGACTCAGGAGTCAAGAAAGAAGAGAAAGAGGGAGGGAAGGTTGGCCAAAGCAACGCGTGGCGGGTACAGCTAGGAAATAAATACAAAGAAATAAATTAGACAAATTTGTTGGCTAGTTCCATCAGCCAACAATATGCTGTTGGTAGCATATCTGACTGGATGACTCCCTCTCACAGTTGATGATGAGTGAGGAGCTCTCAAAATGTGCTTTTGAAGGGTCTTTGCTTTCTCTATGGGAAAAAGACTTGCAGACCCCCCCCCCCCCCCCAAATTGCAAATAACTCTTTTCTCTTGAGACTGGTAGTTTATTAACCTGGACTTGATATATCTATTGCATTGTGTAGCCTTCGGATGAAGAAGGAAAGAGGTGCTTCAGCCCAGATAGAGCCTAGAGTGAAGATGGAGGAGGCAAACCAAATCAGTCCTAAAGGAAGAAGAGTCCTAAAGGTTGAAATGTGGGACAGAAGAAGTATTGGATTTTGGGGGAGAGCAAGGCAGGATGCTCTAGATGAGAAGGCATTCAGTTCAGATGTTCTATGCCAACTCTTCCGGCGTGCCCGTTTCCACAAGGATAAGGGTCCTCGAGCACTTTGCAGCCAACTTCACAAACTCTGCCGCCAGTGGCTGAAGCCCGAGCGACACTCCAAGGCGGAGATGCTGGACCTGGTGATCCTGGAGCAGTTCCTGGCCGTCCTTCCTTCAGAGATGGAGAGCTGGGTGAGGGAATGTGGGGCAGAGACCAGTTCCGAGGCAGTGGCTTTGGCTGAAGGCTTCCTCCTAAGTCAGGAAGAAGAGGAGAAGACACTGCAGGAAGAGCAGCAGGAGAGTGATATTCTTCAGGCCCAGGATGTTCCTCCATATACCAGCAGGAGCTTGCCTTCCAGATGGATCAAACTGGAGGAGGACACGGGAGAAGCTCCACTAGGTAAGATGTCTTTATTCACACCCATATGTAGAATCTTTTGCCATGTCTCCCCAAATATTTGTTTCCATTGCTGTTTTCTTATAATATTTTGAGAACAGTTTTAAGAATGTATACATCTAATGCAGTCATGCCAGCCACATGACCTTGGAGGTGTCTATGGACAACGCCAGCTCTTTGGCTTAGAAATGGAGATGAGCACCAACCCCAGAGTCCAGAGGAGGGTGACTAAAACGATAAAGGGTCTGGAGAACAAGCCCTATGAAGAGTGGCTTAAAGAGCTGGGCAGGTTTAACCTGATGAAGAGACAGCTGAGAGGGGACATGATAACCATGTATAAATATGTGAAAGAAAGGCATGTTTAGCCTTCAGAAGAGGAGGTTGAGGGGAGACACCATAGCCAAGTATAAATACGTGAGAGGAAGTCATAGGGAGGAGGGAGCAATCCTGTTTTCTGCTGCCCTGGAGACTAGGGCGCAATGGAACAATGGCTTCAAACTACAAGAAAGGAGATTCCATCTGAACATTAGGAAGAACTTCCTGACTGTGAGAGAGAGCTGTTCAGAAGTGGAACTCTCTTCCCCAGAGTGTGGTAGAGGCTCCTTCTTTGGAAGCTTTCAATAAGGCTGGATGGCCATCTGTCAGGGGCGCTTTGAATGCAATTTTCCTGCTTCTTGGCAGATTGGGGTTGGACTGGATGGCCCAGGAGGTCTTTTCCAACTCTATGATTCTATGATACGACTGGACTTAATGTCAGGGGAAAACCTTTACTTTTACCTAAGAGGGCACTTATAATATTTTGAGAACAGTTTTGAGAATGTATACATCTAAGATGGCATTATATGAAACAGTCTGCATTTCATGAAAACCGACACCAGAAAAACCTTTCTTACAATTCCTTATTTCCTTTCACTTGACAATCCCTTATACAGCCAGTCTTCCATATTTTCATGTTTGGCTTTTTGCAGATTTGATTTAATGTTATCTTTGGGAGTCTTTAGGTCCTCCAGCTTGATTAACCATCTGTCAGGGGTGATTTGAATGCAATATTCCTGCTTCTTGGCAGAATGGGGTTGGACTGGATGGCCCATGAGGTCTCTTCCAACTCTTTGATTCTATGATTCTAACCATTGTCCCAGCAAAAGACCTAGAGCAGGTCTGCACAACTTCTGGCTCTCCAGGTGTTTTGAACTTCAGCTCCCAGAACTCCTGAGTATTGAAACAGCTGGCTGGGCCTTCTGGGAACTGGAAGCCCAAATACCTGGAGGACTGCTGGTTGTGCAGGCCTGACTTAGAGGTTCTTATGGAGAACAGTTTTTGGGCATTTATAGGTTCTCCAGTGCAATCTTAATGGCCAGCTTTCAATAATAATAATAATAATAATAATAATAATAATAATAATAATAATACCCGCTCTGAGTCTCCTCGGGGAGATGGAGCAGTATATAAATAAAGTTTTATAATAATAATAATAATAATAATAATAATAATAATAATAATAATACTTTATATTCTGCTCTATCTCCCCAAAGGGACTCAGGGCAGATTCCAAACATCAAAGGCAAACATTCAATGCCCCAAAACAACAACAAATACATCCATACTAACAAAATTTGTACAACCCAACAGATAAATACGAATTATAACTTAACAAACTAAAATTAAATAAAAAGCACAGCTTGTTATAACAGACATAAGAGAAAACATCAAACGAGAACAACAATTTCCCATTTCTTTGGGGCAAATCAGTTAATCATTGCTCAAGATATCTATTGAGCTGGTGGGGTGAGCAGGGCACGGATACGGATGGCAACTATTAATCAGAGGTATAAGGGTGGTATTACCAACTACTATTCTCCTCCTCGTAAGCCAGTGAGCAAAGGTATGTCTTCAGCGGGGAGGGAGGGGACCATCTTTAACTCCATCTTTAAGGTAGTTTCAGAGGTGGGGGGCAGCCACAGAGAAGGCCCTTTCTCTCGTTCCCACCAGCCATGCTTGGGAAGGGGGTGGAACTGAGAGGAGGACCTCCTCCGATGACTGCAGTGTCCAAGTTGGTCTGTAGAGGGAGATGCAGTTTGTCAAATAGTCTGGACCTATGATATTTAGGGCTTTAAAGGTAAGAACCAGCACTTTGTATTTAGCTCAGATAGAATCATAGAATCAAAGAGTTGGAAGAGACCTCATGGGCCATCCAGTCCAACCCCATTCTGCCAAGAAGCAGGAATATTGCATTCAAATCACCCCTGACAGATGGCCATCCAGCCTCTGTTTAAAAGCTTCCAAAGAAGGAGCCTCCACCACACTCCGGGGCAGAGAGTTCCACTGCTGAACGGCTCTCACAGTCAGGAAGTTCTTCCTCATGTTCAGATGGAATCTCCTCTCTTGTAGTTTGAAGCCATTGTTCTGTGTCCTAGTCTCCAGGGAAGCAGAAAACAATCTTGCTCCCTCCTCCCTGTGGCTTCCTCTCACATATTTAGACATGGCCCACATCATGTCTCCTCTAAGCCTTCTCTTCTTCAGGCTAAACATGCCCAGCTCCTTCAACTGCTCCTCATAGGGCTTGTTCTCCAGACCTTTTATCATTTTAGTCGCTCTCCTCTGGACACATTCCAGCTTGTCAATATCTCTCTCCAATAGTTATGCCCAGAATTGGACACAATATTCCAGGTGTGGTCTAACCAGAGCAGAATAGAGGGGTAGCATTACTTCCTTAGATCTAGACACTATGCTCCTATTGATGCAGGCCAAAATCCCATTGGCCTTTTTTGCCGCCACATCACATTGTTGGCTCATGTTTAACTTGTTGTCCACGAGGACTCCAAGATCTTTTTCACACGTACTGCTCTCGAACCAGGCATCCACCATTCTGTATCTTTGCATTTCGTTTTTCCTGCCAAAGTGGAGTATCTTGCATTTGTCACTGTTGAACTTCATTTTGTTAGTTTTGGCCCATCTCTCTAATCTGTTAAATGCAGACTGGCAGCCAGTGGAGCTGGTTCTCTCCCTGAACGGTGCTCCAGTTAATAACCTAGCTGCTAATCTCTGGATGGAAGGTCACCTTAGAGGAATCTAGAAATCCCTAAAGAAATGTTCTCTGAGATTAAAACACTTTTAAATACTTAAGTACTTTTAAATTTGTGGTGTTCCCACTTTTGCAGGGGTTCTGTGCCCCTAACCCTGGAATATGTGGAGGGCTGGTCATCTGTTCTTTTTGTGTTGTTTGAATTGTAAACTTCTTTGGGGCTTAAAAATAGACTTCAAAAAACAAAGAAATTAAGCTTCCCCTCCCATCTTTGGTGTTTCACAGGAGATGAGCCAAGGATGCTGGGAAGATGTTCATCTCTTTGTGGTGCAGGAGAAATGGCTTCGGTGGAACAAGATCAGGTAAAAGAATGGAAATGGAAGTGAACTGGATGTAATAGTGAAAGTGTCCATGGTCGACAAGCTTGGATTTTTGTTGTTTGTTTGTTATTGGTTTCTGCTTAATAAGAAGTCTCAGTTTGCTGTCCTCGAAGGCCTTCATCTTCAACTAGGAGCCAAATTGTGCATTCTACTCCAGACTGAATCCTGTATTTAGCATTTTATTGGCTCAACCTGGAGTCAACGTACACATTATTGCAGTTTGACACTATTGTAACTGCCATGGTTCGGTGATGTGCAATCCTGGGATTTGTAGTGTGACGAAACGCCATCACTCTTTGGCAAAGAGGGCTGACGAACTTGTAAAATTACAATGCTATTGCCTTGAGCCATATAGCCTTGAGCCTAAAGTGCTGATAGACCTGAGAAGATTATTTATTTACTTACTTACTTACTTACTTACTTACTTCATTGCTTTTCTCAGCCCTTAGGCGACTCAGAGCAGTTAACAATAGGAGTTAACAATAGCAAAATTCAATGCTCCACATCATAAAAACAGTTAAAAACGATTAAAACAATAAAATAATAAACAAACATCAATATATTTATTTATTTATTTACTCCATTTGTATACCGCATTTATCAGCCTGAGACGGCGACTCAATGCGGTTTACAATAAAAATGGCAACACTGAACAATATATAAGACGCACATACACAAACAACACACATAGTCATCGACGCCTCAATTAGAATCAGATCCCGTTCTCACAATCCTTTCCGTTCCTTGTTCCAATGCCGTCTTACTGAGTTAATTGTCATTGCATAGTTATCCAAATGCCTGTTCATAGAGCCATGTCTTCACCCTCCTCCGAAACACCAGTAACGAAGGGGCCTGCCTGATGTCCACTGGTAGGGCATTCCATAGCCGAGGGGCCACCACCGAGAAGGCCCTGTCTCTCGTCCCCGCCAACCGCGCTTGTGACGCCGGCGGGACCGAGAGCAGGGCCTCCCCGGACGATCTTAAGGTCCTCGTCGGTTCATAGGTGGAGATGCGTTCGGAGAGGTAAGTGGGGCCAGAACTGTTTAGGGCTTTATAGGCTAATGCCAGCACTTTGAATTGTGCCCGGTAGCAGACTGGTAGCCACTGGAGCTGGCACAACAGAGGAGTTGTATGCTCCCTGAGTGCTGCTCCTGTTAGTATCCTGGCTGATGAGCGTTGGACCATTTGAAGCTTCCGAGCAGTCTTCAAAGGCAACCCCACATAGAGCGGTTGAAACTATTTGCTCAGAAGAGAGTGTCTGTATCCAATAACATCAACAATACGCATCCACTCCATCCCACACAGTGCTCCTCACTTTTAGCATTTTTAAAGATTATGGATAGAAAGGTCACAAATCCTATTCCAGAAGGCCCATCTTCTCCCTTTGAACCCTGGATTCACACTTTCATTGAGATGGCTTGTGTATATGCTGGCATGGAATGAGCGGTATCAATCTCTATATCCAAACTCTCTTCTTTCAGCTGACTTTTGAAGATGTGGGTGTAAATTTCAATGATGCGGAGTGGGCCCTGCTGGATCCGGGTCAACGGGCCCTGCACTGGGAGGTCATGGAGGAGAATTATAAAATGATGGTTTCTTTGGGTAAGGATCCTTCTGTTACTTGGTCATAAAAATCAGTTTAGGAATTGCCAATTCTTTCTACAGTGTTGCTGTATAGCTCAGGGTCATGGGTCACCTGTGTACAGCATTGCTGGTTTCTGATCAAAGTGGTGAAACTCCACTTGCGCTATATGGCTACCACGATACATCTTAAAGGAATACCAGCGCCAGCCATTTTTAATGTAATGTAACTACATTTTTAACTATTTTAACTATTTTAACTACGTGAGCTGGTTAAAGGATAAGGTGGTTTACTAAGGTGGATAAACAATGTCTCATGGCATAGGAAATATAATGGAAAACAGAGCAAATTAACAGGATGAGAAACAATTCAGCTAATGTAATATAGGACATCAAATTAAATGACAATTCAGATCATAACACAGGCCGTTTGTCATAGGAGTCGTCAATCAAAAGCATGACGAAACATCCACGTCTTTAATTCCTTACAGAAAACACAGTACTTTCTAGGTTCTTGTGGGTTTTTTCGGGCTATATGGCCATGTTCTAGAGGCATTTCTCCTGACGTTTCGCCTGCATCTATGGCAAGCATCCTCAGAGGTAGTGAGGTCTGTTGGAATTAGGACAATGGGTTTATATATCTGTGGAATGGCTGGGGTGGGGCAAAGAGCTCTTCTCTGCTGGAGCTAGGTGTGAATGTTTCAACTGACCACCTTCATTAGCATTTGAAGGCCTGGCTGAGCCAGGGAAAATCTTTTGTTGAGAGGTGTTAAGATGTGCCTGGTTGTTTCCTCTCTGCTGTTTTGCTGTTGTAATTTTAGAGTTTTTTTAATACTTAACACCTCTCAACAAAGATTTTCCCAGGCTCAGCCAGGCCTTCAAATGCTAATGAAGGTGGTCAGTTGAAACATTCACACCTAGCTCCAGCAGAGAAGAGCTCTTTGCCCCACCCCAGCCATTCCACAGATATATAAACCCATTGTCCTATTCCAACAGACCTCACTACCTCTGAGGATGCTTGCCATAGATGCAGGCGAAATGTCAGGAGAAAATGCCTCTAGAACATGGCCGTATAGCCCGAAAAAACCCACAAGAACCTAGAAAGTACTGTGTTTTCTGATGGTCTTTGGCGACCCCTCTGACACCCCCTTGCTGCCCCCCCCAGGGGTCCCGACGCCCAGGTTGAGAAACACTGGCTTAGATGATGGTTCTCTCATCCATTGCAAGAATTCACATTTTCTTTCTCATTCTCTCTCATTGTATTTGTGCTAGTTGATTGATTTCCTGCTCTTTTTTCACTCCTTCTTACTGTTTGTGTCTCTTCTTTCAAGGTGGTGATGGGCGAGGGAATGAAAATGGAGGAGTGCCATGTGATGCGTTGCTACAAACAGAGGAATGTGAAAAGGGGGAAGAAGCGAGAATGGAAGCAGAAGAAGGTGGAAGGGACCAGTGCCCTGCTGACACCTCAGATTTGCCAATCCAAGGACTAACAGACAAAAGCAGGGAGTTTGGGAACTGCCTTGTCTATGAAAATGACTCCTTCAATCAGGCAATATACTTGATGGATCATATCACAGACCATATAGATCAACCACAACCTAAATTCCATCAATCGGAAGAAAACTTTGGAATTAGCGTACACCTTACTAGCAACGAAGAATGCAATAATAGTAAGACTATTGACATTGATAATAATCCATATAAATGCCTAGAGTGTGGGAAAAGCTTCCATCATAATGGAGCCCTCACCAGACACCAGAAAACCCACATGGCAGACAAACCGTATAAATGCCTGGAGTGTGGAAAAGGCTTTATTGACAAGACAAGCCTCGTAGGTCATGAAATGAATCACAGAGGAGAGAAGCCCTATAAATGCCTGCAGTGTGGGAAGAGTTTCAGCTACAAGTCAGTCCTTAAGAATCACCAGGATAGACACACAGAAGATAAACCATTCAAATGTCTGGATTGTGGGAAATGCTTCCATCATAACGGAGCCCTCACGAGACACCAGAAAACCCACACAGGAGAAAAACCATACAAATGCCTGGAGTGTGGAAAAGGCTTTATTGACAAAACAAGTCTTGTGGGTCATGAAATGAATCACAGAGGGGAGAAACCCTATAAATGCCTGCAGTGTGGGAAGAGTTTTAGCTTTAAATCAGTCCTTAAAAATCACCAGGATAGGCACACAGAAGAGAAACCATACAAATGTCTGGATTGTGGGAAAAGCTTTCATCATAACGGAGACCTTAGTAGACACAAAAAGACCCACATCGGAGAGAAACCATATCAATGCCTGGAGTGTGGGAAATGCTTTACCGAAAAGAGAAGCCTCATAGGGCATGGCATGATTCACCGAGGAGAGAAGCCCTATCAGTGCCTGGAGTGTGGGAAGAGTTTCAGCTACAAATCAGGCCTCAAGAGTCACCAGAACAGTCATACAGAAGAAAAATCATACACGTGTCTCGAGTGTGGGAAGAGTTTCAGTCAGGGAATACTCCTCAAGAGGCACCAAAAAACCCACACGGGGGAGAAGCCATATAAATGCCTGGAGTGTGGGAAAGGCTTCAGTCAAAAGAGAAGCCTCATAGGGCATGAAATGAATCACAGAGGAGAGAAGCCCTATAAATACCAGGAGAGTCACACAGAAGAGAAGTCTTACACATATCTCCTTGGAGATTTGGCAGAGGCCGTTCCATGTGCTGATTCTTCCATAGGGACCTGCACATTCCCTGACAACAACTTGCGTTGCACCTCTCCTTGTTCTGATACAGGAGAGACCCTCAAGTTGATTCTGTAGCTCCAAATTACAGAATTATTCCTGGTCTACCTCCTGTGTTTGCACAGTCACCTCCTCTCCAGAGAGATCCCATGTGTGTTTCACCTGCTTTGCTGAATCCAAGTGAAACTCTCCCTCCCCAATATGTATAAATATGTGAGAGGAAGCCACAGGGAGGAGGGAGCAAGCTTGTTTTCTGCTTCCTTGGAGACTAGGACGCAAAACAATGGCTTCAAACTACAAGAAAAGAGATTCCATCTGAACATGAGGAAGAACTTCCTGACTGTGAGAGTCGTTCAGCGGTGGAACTCTCTGCCCTGGAGTGTGGTGGAGGCTCCTTCTTTGGAAGCTTTTAAACGGGTTGGATGACCATCTGTCAGGGGTGCTTTGAATGCAATATTCCTGCTTCTTGGCAGAATGGGGTTGGACTGGATGGCCCAGGAGGTCTCTTCCAACTCTTTGATTCCATGATTCTATGATGGAGTGTGGATACCTGGATCTCCAGACACTGAACCTTCTCTTCCAAGAAGGCCACTATCTAACTTGCTTTTGGTGCAAATCTAGATATCCACATTCTCGTGCAGTCACATGCATGAGTTCCCTCACCTTCCCATTCTAAGAGAATTAAGACGAGAATTGGGTAGAGAAAGGAACAGAGATCTGGGCCTCCTCCACACACTTCCCTGCTAAATATCCCCATGAGCACCCTAGTTTGTGCGTTGTTGTAGGTATTTCAGGCTGTATGGCCATGTTCTAGAGCAGGGGTCCTCAAACTAAGGCCTGGGGCCGGATACGGCCCTCCAAGGTCATTTACATTGCTCAGGGTCAACCTAAGTTTGAAACCACTTGAAAGCTCACAACAATAACAACAATCCTATCTCATGAGCCAAAAGCAGACCCACACTTTCCACTGAAATACTAATCTATATATATAAAAATGCTTTGTGCGTAATGAGTACCTTAAAAACAAAAGAACTAATGAACGAAATCACACCAAATTTGGCAACAAAAAGTCTTACAACACAAGGAGTGAGCATCACTCAAACATTATGATATTGTCATTTGAGAGTTGTAGTTGCTGRGATTTATAGTTCACCTATAATCAAAGAGCATTCTGAACTCCACTAACAATGGAATTGATCCAAACTTGGCACMCAGGACTCCCCTGACCAACAGAAAACACCAGAAGCATTTGGTGGGCATTGACCTTGAGTTTGAGAGTTGTAGTTCACCTACATCTAGAGAGCACTGTAGACTCAARACAATGATGGATCTGGACCAAACTTGGCACAAATACTCCATATGACCAAATGTGAACACAGATGGAGTTTGGGGAAAATAGACCTTGACATTTGGGAGTTGTAGTTACTTGGATTTATAGTTCACCTACAATCAGGGAGCATTCTGAACCCCACAAATGACAGAATTGGGGCAAACCTCCCACACAGAACCCGCATACTTAAGGCCATCCAGTCCAACTCCCTTCACCAGGACAAGAAAACGTAATCAAAGCCCTCCTGACAAAGAGCCATCCAGTCATAGATATAGATAGATATATATGATTCACACACACATATATGTATATGATAGATATAGTATCATAGATTTGAAAGGGACCCCTAAAGAAGGACAATTATATGTTGCATGGCAAACCAGACAATATCTACATCAACACTGACAAAGAAACAACAGGCAATATTCTTTACCCACAAGCATAAAGAATTACATATATTAGAAACCAACACTTTCTCAGTACTTCATTTTCCAGATCACCAGACTGGGCCACAGCAAGGTGGCCAATTGAAACATTCACACCTAGCTCCAACAGACAAGAGTTCTTTCTCCCACCCTGGACTTCCCATAGATATATAAACCCAGTTTTTCCTAGTTTCCAACAAAACTCACAACCTCTGAGGATACTTGCCATAGATGCAGGTGAAACGTCAGGTGAGAATGCTTCTAGAACATGGCCAACAGCCCAAAAAACCTACAATCACCCAGTGAATCTGGACATGAAAGCCTTTGACAATACATCCTAGTTTGTCTCACCTGTTTATCTAGTCCTGAATGCCGAGATTCAGAAACTTGTAGTGTAGCAGGAATTTAATTGGCGATCAACCCGCACATGACACCCCCCCCCCTCCAAAAAATTATTTATTTATTTCTTGTACTTATTGACCGCCACTCTCAGCCCTAGGGGCGACTCGTGGCGGTGAACAACAACATAGAAAGACAGTATACAAAAACAAAAACCATCACAGGAGAGACGCCATATAAATGCATGGAGTGTATTGTAAATACTTTGCTGAGAGGAGAAGTTTCATTGTGCATGAAATGAATCAGAGGGATTAAACCATATAAATGCCTGGAGTGGAGGAAGAATTATATTGATATCAGGCTCACACTAGTGCCACGATTATGGGGAAAGCTTCAGCTTTTGAATCGCTTCCAATAGACACCTAAGTATTCACACAATGAAGAAAACATCTGGACAAAAAACTCTGTATCTTTTGTATAAATCTTTTGTATATATTCCCTCCCATTTAATAACAATAACAATAATAATACTTTATTTGTATTCTTCCCAATCTCCCCAAGGGGACTTTTATTTGATCCAAATTACCTTGGGTCATCTTTTGATACTCTTTCAAGAAGAACCTAACAGGTTCAGCTTAATACAGGCCTTGTGGTGCTCTTGATGCTTCACCGACTGATATGATGTGGTATCCACACCTTGTCCCACCTTTTCAGCTGCATGTTCTTATGTTTTGTGCTTGTTTTAGAAAAGTGACTGATTTTTTATTTTATTTTTTGCCATTTCTTCTACAGTTTTGCGGATTTTGACAGACAAATAAAGTTTTCATGTGGCCACATGGTGCAATTGTTTGAATATTGAATTTGGTCCAACCTGAGCTTTCCTGTCACTGCTACTGATGCCTCTAGGAGAGCTAATCATTGATTGTTGAGACTAGATGGCCATCTGTCAGGGATCCTGAAAAGAAGCAAGGGAGCGGAGGGATGATTTATTGTTGCCACCAATTTGAAAGGAACCAGTATTCAGGAGATTTTACCCCAGTTCCCAATTTTAAAAAGAACTGGCCGATTTGCAATGGAGGTTGCCGATTAGGAACCAAATTTACCATCAAGTTGGAAGGGAGGCTGTTCAATTGCACCTCCTCCTTTATTAAGAAAGTAATAACTTAGTAGTAATTACACTGTATATACTGTAGCGTGACTGGAGAGAAGAATGTAGTTTTATTTGGTTACTTTTCCCTGCGTTTCTGCCACCACGTGAGGTAAGTTGTAATATTGTGAGAAATTGCACTTTGGACACAGAATAGACGGAGCTGAGGCAATCTTCAAATAAAAGTTAACAATTTTATTAAGTACACAGCGTGTGGTTGCAAGACGTAACTTTTCCTTGTTGCACTTGGAATAATACTTGTAACTTTAACAGTTCATTCTTTCAAGTAACACAGTATCTTTCTGATGTAGAGCACTTGTTTCAGACAAAGTTTCAATACAGGGATGTTTCCCTTGTTTGATCCTCCCTAGATCAAATACTAAGTAAACTATTCTTTAGCCTCTCCTTAGACTAAAAGAATACCAGCTCTGTTTCACCATTTGGCTGCACTAGCCTGAGAAACTTTCAATAGCCAAACCCAGCTTTTCAAAGCCTCAAAGCTTTGCTTCACAAGTCACTCCGCCACCTTTCCTTTCCTTCTCTCCCAACTCCTCACTCCTCACTCCTCTGAACCTAACTCCTCTAAACCTAAACCCTAACTGATTTTTAACTGTCGTTTTTTCAAACTCTCCCCTCTAAGCTCCTCCCACTTCCCTCTCTCCTGCATCGGTCTCCATGGCAACGCACATGGAGGACTCCTCTGACTTAGGCCGCTCCAGCATTACTGCAGCCAATATAAACACAAATACAGTTAAAATCATACAATTTATAATCAACTCCTGTACAGATCCTTTTGTTGTGCAAGTAAGTGTAAGGAATGTGCCCTGAGGTGAATTTGTTGACTAGTTCCATCAGCCAACAAGATGCTGTTGGTAGCATATATACCCCCTTGTTGAAGGAGCTCCACTGGCTGCCATTTATTTTTCGGTCCCAATTCAAGGTTCAGTTTATCACCTACAAAGCCCTGAATTGGTTTGAGACCTGCCTACCTTCGTGACCGCATTTCCTTCTACGTACCTACACAATTCCTTCGATCTTCCAGGGAGGTCCTCCTCTCGCTTCCACCTCCATCGCAAGTGCGACTTAAGAGGATGACGGAGAGGGCCTTCTCGGTGGTGGCCCCTCGACTCCGGAACTCACTTCCCGGAGATATTAGGCAAACACCCATCCTGGCAATCTTCAGGAAGAGCCTAAAAACCTGGCTGTTCCAGTGTGCCTTTGAACAATGAACAGTTCCCCATACCGTGTGTGCTGTCGCACGCTGGGCCTGTGCATATGACTGTAGACAGGACATAAATTCTGTGTGCCCAACAGGACGCCGGGGCTGCCTCAGATTAAAGACCCTTGGACCTCCCCAAAACAAAGTTCTGTAGAGGCTTAAAATAAGTCCAAAAAAATTATTTTCCCCTGGAAGTCTACAAAGCTCTGCTTGGTAAGGGTCACTCGTGGAAGCCAGGCGCAGTTGGTACCGGGTGCAGGGGCTCCACGCCAACAGAGGCAAAGACAGACTTCCTAGATTAGAAGTTAAGGATTTCCCCATTAGTTAATTACAGTTAAGAAGATAGTGCCTGTTCCCAGTGAACAAGATTGCGAAGATGCGGGGAATGCCGTGGATGTAGCGTACCTGGATTTCAGTAAGGCCTTCGACAAGGTCCCCCATGACCTTCTGGCAAGGAAACTAGTCCAATGTGGGCTAGGCAAAACTACGGTGAGGTGGATCTGTAATTGGTTAAATGGACGAACCCAGAGGGTGATTCTCCCCAATGCTTCCTCTTCATCCTGGAAAGAAGTGACAAGTGGAGTGCCATCAGCAGGGTTCGGTCCTGGGCCCAGTCCTGTTCAACATCTTTATTAATGACTTAGATGAAGGGTTAGAAGGCAGGATCATCAAGTTTGCAGACGACACAAGATTGGGAGGGAGAGCCAATACTCCAGAGGACAGGAGCAGGATTCAAAACGATCTTGACAGATTAGAGAGATGGGCCAAAATTAACAAAATGAAGTTCAACAGTGACAAATGCAAGATACTCCACTTTGGCAGGAAAAACGAAATGCAAAGATACAGAATGGGGGATGCCTGGCTCAAGAGCAGTACGTGTGAAAAAGATCTTGGAGTCCTCGTGGACAACAAGTTAAACATGAGCCAACAATGTGATGTGGCGGCAAAAAAAGCCAATGGGATTTTGGCCTGCATCAATAGGAGCATAGTGTCTAGATCTAGGGAAGTAATGCTACCCATGCTCTATTCTGCTTTGGTTAGACCACACCTGGAATATTGTGTCCAATTCTGGGCACCACAATTCAAGAGAGATATTGACAAGCTGGAATGTGTCCAGAGGAGGGCGACTAAAATGATCAAGGGTCTGGAGAACAAGCCCTATGAGGAGCGGCTTAAGGAGCTGGGCGTGTTTAGCCTGAAGAAGAGAAGGCTGAGAGGAGATATGATAGCCATGTATAAATATGTGAGAGGAAGCCACAGGAAGGAGGAGGGAGCAAGCTTGTTTTCTGCTTCCCTGGAGACTAGGACGCGGAACAATGGCTTCAAACTACAAGAAAGGAGATTCCATCTGAACATGAGGAAGAACTTCCTGACTGTGAGAGCCGTTCAGCAGTGGAACTCTCTGCCCCGGAGGGTGGTGGAGGCTCCTTCTTTGGAAGCTTTTAAACAGAGGCTGGATGGCCATCTGTCAGGGGTGATTTGAATGCAATATTCCTGCTTCTTGGCAGAATGGGGTTGGACTGGATGGCCCAGGAGGTCTCTTCCAACTCTTTGATTCTATGATTCTATGATTCTATGAATGGTTTGGGACCTGCCTACCTTCGTGACTGCATTTCCTTCTACGAACCTACACGATTCCTTCAATCTTCCGGGGAGGTCCTCCTCTCGCTTCCACCTCCATCGCAAGTGCGACTTATGAGGATGACGGAGAGGGCCTTCTCGGTGGTGGCCCCTCGACTCCGGAACTCACTTCCCGGAGATATTAGGCAAACACCCATCCTGGCAATCTTCAGGAAGAGCCTAAAAACCTGGCTGTTCCAGTGTGCCTTTGAACAATGAACAGTTCCCCATACTGTGTGTGCTGTCACACGCTGGGCCTGTGCATATAGACTGTAGACAGGACATAAATTCTGTGTGCCCAACGGGACGCCGGGGCTGCCTCAGATTAAAGGCCCTTGGACCTCCCCACAAACAAAGTTCTGTAGAGGCTTAAAGTAAGTCCAACAAAGTTCTTTTTCCCTGGAAGTCTACAAAGCTCTGCTTGGTAAGGGTCGCTTGTGGAAGCCAGACGCAGTTGGTATCGGGTGCAGGGGCTCCACGCCAACAGAGGCAAAGACAGACTTCCCAGATTAGAAGTTAAGGATTTCCCCATTAGTTAATTACAGTTAAGAAGATAGTGCCTGTTCCCAGTGAACAAGATTGCAAGAGCCAATAGACTGTTAAGAAAGCTTGAAAGTACCTGCTTGTTTTCCATCAATAAAGAACTTTGTTGGACTTACTTTAAGCCTCTACAGCAGTGGTTCTCAACCTTCCTAATGCCGCGACCCCTTAAGACAGTTCCTCATGTTGTGGTGACCCCCAACCATTAAATTATTTTCATTGCTACTTCACAACTGTAATTTTGCTACTGTTATGAATCGCAATGTAAATATCTGATATGCAGGATGTATTTTCATTCACTGGACCAAATTTGGCAAAAATACCCGATACACCCAAATTTGAACACTGGTGGCATTGGGTGGGGGATTGATTTTGTCATTTGGGAGTTGTAGTTGCTGGGATTTATAGTTCACCTACAATCAAAGAGCATTCTGAACTCCACCAATGATGGAATTGAACCAAACTTGGCACACAGAATTCCCATGACCAACAGAAAATACTGGAAGGGTTTGGTGGGCATTGACCTTGAGTTTTGGAGTTGTAGTTCACCTACATCCAGAGAGCACTGTGGATTCAAACAATAATGAATCTGGACCAAATTTGACATGAAAATCAATATGCCCAAATGTGAACTCTGCTGGAGTTTGGGGAAAAATAGACCTTGATATTGGGAGTTGTAGTTACTGGGATTTATAGTTCACCTACAATCAAAGAGCATCCTGGACTCCACCAATGATAGAATTGGGCCAAACTTCCCACACAGAACCCCCATGACTAACAGAAAATACTGTGTCTTTGGCGACCCCTCTGACACCCCCTTGCGACCCCTCCAGGGGTCCCGACCCCCAGGTTGAGAAACGCTGACGTAGAGCTTTGGAAAGCTTCTGTTCTACCATCTCAAAGCTCCATGCTTGAGTGGTGACGGCACGATCATCAGCATAGATGAAGCTCTCTGTCCCTTCTGGCAGTGGCTGGTCATTTGTGTAAATGTTGGACATGGATGGAGCAAGCACACTCCCCTGAGGCAGACCATTCTTCTGTTTCCGCCATCTGCTTCTCTGGCCCTGGAACTCAACAAAAAAGCTCCTGTTTGGTAGCAGGATTGAGACTGTATGGTAACCAGTGAGTCATACTTGGGGACCTAGACATGCACACAGAGGTGTTCTCCTTGGTTTCAAAACAAATCAAATTTCCAAAACATACCCATCATCAACAATGTTCCAAAACATACCCATCATCAACAATGAAAAAATCTTCAATATTTGGCAAAAAGACATTTCAAAGTTTATTTGGGCTGGGAAAAAACCAAGAGTAAAAATGAAGATACTTAATGACGATAAAACAAGCGGCGGCCTTTCTCTTCCAAATCTCCAACTCTATTTTCACGCATGCTGTTTTGATTGGATTAAAGAATGGGTGACCTTAGAAGACAATGAACTACTCGATCTAGAAGATCTAAATCTCCCATTCGGATGGCATGCACATCTGGACATACAAAAGGCCAAACCAACGGGCATATTTAATGATTACTATATACGGAGACCAATTCTAAATACCTGGAACAGATATAAAAACAGAATTTACACAAAGACACCGGAGTGGATGTCCCCACATGAAGCATATTATAAAAAGGAGAATATCCTCCAAGGGAAATGGCTAACCTACAGGGAACTGATCCAGACTGATTTAGAAAAACCAGAAATGAAATCCCTAGAACAGTGTTTCTCAACCTTCCTAATGGCGCGACCCCTTCATACAGTTCCTCTTGTTGTGGTGACCCCCAAACATAAAATCATTTTCGTTGCTACTTTAAACTGTAATTTTGCTACTGTTATCAATTGTAATAATAAAATCTGATGTATTCACTGGACCAAATTTGGCATAAATATCCAATACACACAAATTTGAATACTGGTGGGGTTGGAGGGGGTTGATTTTGTCATTTGGGAGTTGTAGTTGCTGGGATTTATAGTTCACCTAAATCAAGGGGCATTCTGAAATCTATCAATGATGGAATTGAACCAAACTTAGCACTTCAATGACCAACAGGGAAAAAAAACTGGAAAAGTTTGGTGGGCATTGAACTTGAGTTTGGGAGTTGTAATTCACCTACATCCGGAGAGCACTGTGGACTCAAACAATGATGGATCTGGACCAACTTGGCACAAATACTCAATATACCCAAAGGTTAACACTGGTGGAGTTTGGAGGAAATAGACCTTGACACTTGGGAGCTGTAGTTGCTGGAATTTATAGTTCACCTACAATCAAAGAGAATTCTGAACCCTACCAACGATAGAATTGGGCCAAACTTCCCACACAGAAACCCCATGACCAACAAAAAATACTGTTTTTTCTGATGGTCTTTGGTGACCCCTCTGACACCCCCTTGCGACCCTTCCAGGGGTCCCGACCCCCAGGTTGAGAAACACTGCCCTAGAAGAATTGAACCAAAAGGGCCTTAAATGCAATTGGCTTCTGCATAGACAACTGCGAGAGAAATTTAAAGAACAACTTAGAACCTCAGGCTTCCAGACAGCGAAAACATGGTTTGATGTGGCAATGTTTCAGAAACCAAAAGGTCTTATATCATATATATACAAAAATTTACTGACTTGGCACACGGAAGAGGAAATAGTAAAAGATTCTATGGTTAGATTTGCCCAAAATATAGGCCAAGAGATAAAAATGTCCCAGTGGGAAAAGACATGGAAGAGAAGAATGAAATACACTGCATGTCAAAACTTAAAGGAAAATGTTTATAAAATGCATTTGCGATGGTATCTCTCTCCAGAGAGACTAGCTAAGATGTACAATTGTTCCAACAAATGTTGGAAATGTGGGAAAGAAAAAGGTACATTCTACCACACATGGTGGTCTTGTAGCAAAGTAAAAAATTACTGGAAACAGATCCACGTATATCTTGAAAAAATGTTAAACACAAATTTCAAAATGACACCTCAAATGTACCTTTTGAATATGCCCGAGGAAGAATTAGAAAGAAAATTTGGAAAAATTTTGTTTTACACAACAGTGGCAGCTCGAATAGTATATGCTAGATATTGGAAAACCCCAGAGATACCTCCTTTAGAAGAATGGGAAAAATATATTATAGATATGTTGATAATGGACAAAATAACTGTATTATTAAGAAAATACTTCAATGACACTCAGTTCTTGTGGGTTTTTTCGGGCTATATGGCCATGTTCTAGAGGCATTTCTCCTGACGTTTCGCCTGCATCTATGGCAAGCATCCTCAGAGGTGAGGTCTGCTGGAGCTGGGAAAAAAGGGGTTTATATATCTGTGGAATGACCAGGGTGAGACAAAGGGCTTTTGTAAGTTGGGCTAGGTGTGAATCTTTCAACTGACCACCTGATTAGCATACAATGGGCTGAATGTGCCTGGAGCAAACTCTTCTTGAAAGGTGATTAGATGTCCCTGCCTATTTCCTCTCTGCTGTTTTGCTGTTGCAATTTTAGAATTTTTTAAATACTGGTAGCCAGATTTTGTTCATTTTCATGGTTTCCTCCTTTCTGTTGAAATTGTCCACATGCTTGTGATTTCAATGGCTTCTCTGTGTAGTCTGACATGGTGGTTGTTGGTGTGGTCCAGCATTTCTGTGTTCTCAAATAAAATGCTGTGTCCAGGTTGGTTCATCAGGTGCTCTGCTATGGCTGATTTCTCTGGTTGGAATAGTCTGCAGTGCCTTTCATGTTCCTTGATTCGTGTTTGGGCAATGCTGCTGCGTTTGGTGGTCCCTATGTAGACTTGTCCACAGCTGCATGGTATACGGTAGACTCCTGCAGAGGTGAGAGGATCCCTCTTGTCCTTTGCTGAACGTAGCATTTGTTGGATTTTCTTGGTGGGTTGTAGATTGTTTGTATGTTGTGTTTCCTCATCAGCTTCCCTATGCGGTCAGTGGTTCCCTTGATGTATGGCAGGAACACTTTTCCTCTGGGTGGATCTTCATCTTTGCTCTCGTGGCTTGTTCTTGGTCTTGCAGCTCTTCTGATGTCTGAGGTGGAGTCTCCATTGGCCTGGAGAGCCCAGTTGAGGTGGTTCAGTTCATCTTGGAGGAGGTGGGGTTCGCAGATTCTTTTTGCACGGTCTGCCAAGGCTTTAATGGTGCTTCTTTTTTTGACTTGGGTGATGGTTGGAGTTTTTATGTAGATATCTATCTGTGTGTGTGGGTTTTCTGTAAACGGTGTGACCCAATTGTTGATCTGGTTTACGGATGACTAGGACATCTAGAAAAGGCAGTCTTCCTTCCTTTTCTTTTTCCATTGTGAATTGGATGTTTGGGTGGATGCTGTTAAGATGGTCCAGGAACCTGTTGAGTTCTTCTTCTCCATGGCTCCAAATGGTGAAGGTGTCATCCACATATCTGAACCATATCGTGGGCTTTTTGGTTGCTGTTTCAAGAGCTTGTTTTTCAAAGTGTTCCATGTAGAAGTTAGCTATGACTGGGCTGAGAGGGCTCCCCATCGCTACTCCATCTTTCGACAATACAATACTAGACAACTTCGTTAATGAGTGGCAACCAATGATTCAACACTTTAATGTAAAGCTAAATTAAAAATGTATATAGAGGATCCTATAAGACTGTAGACAAGGAAGAAGTGGATGCAAAGTAAGAATCTATGATATCTTTCTATGTAATATTTAGATAGTAGACTGTCACCCCTTAATAGAAAAATACTATGAGATAAAGGATTATTGAACATTAATAGATAGAAAGTATTGCACTATATGCAACAAACACTTGCAAATGTATGTTTACTTAAAAAAAAAATTAAAAAAAAAAAACCAAATCAAATTTGAAAGAAGTTTGCCCAGGCCTAGTGTAGAGGGTGAGCTGGATGGCCCTTGTGGTCCCTTGCAAGGCTATGAGTCTATGAACCAATCAAAGCAAGGGAGGGAGGGGAAGGGGCGTGTCTTACGAGGGCGAGGCCCCTCCCACTTCCTCGCGAAAGAGCAACCTGGACCCAGGAAAGGGGTGGCAAGCCTGGAAAGAGGGAATCCTGCCCTTTTCCCTCTCCTAGATCAATGGGTGAGCCCTCTTTCCACGTCTTTGGGGTTTGGGGGTTTTCCACGTCTTTGGGGTGCAGGATCTGCAAGGACAAAAGGGGGGTGAAGCAGAGCAAAAGGAAGGGAGGGAGGAAGATGGGGAGACAGCCCCTACTCCCATTGATCACTCATCTAGGAGGCAAGGAGGAAAGGCAAGGCTACCACTGGGAAGAAGGGAAGGGGGAGGAAAGGACTGGGTTTTGGACTACACCTCCCAGTATCCCTGTCCAGGAGGGAGGGGGAACTTCAGGGCACATACAAGGCTCAGGACACATGGGCCCCCATCTTATTCTGCTTGACCCAGAGCTTCTAAACCAGACACGGGCCAACTTGGGCCCTCCAGGTGTTTTGGACTTCATCTCCCACCATTCCTAGCAGCCAGTAGGCTGTAGAGCAGCGTTTCTCAACCTAGGGGTCGGGACCCCTGGGGGGGTCACGAGGGGGTGTCAGAGGGGTCACTAAAGACCATCTGAAAGCACAGTATTTTCTGTTGGTCAAGGGGGTTCCGTGTGTCAAGTTTAGTTCAATTCCATTGTTGGTGGAGTTCAGAAACTATTTGATTGTATGCGAACTATTGTTGTTCATTCGTTCAGTCGTCTCCGACTCTTCGTGACCTCATGGACCAGCCCACGCCAGAGCT